TTTCCTATAGGTGAGTATTACTTGAGAAAACTTTAAGACATGCCAACTATCCTAGAAATGACCCTCATCCAGGCATCTGCAGGACAGCTGGTCTCGAGAGTGGAATAGCAGCGAAGTAACAGCCTCTGTTTTAACTTGGGTGACTCTCAGGAGAGGAATCAAAAGCAATCAGCCAAACTTGCTGTGATAACCCTGCATTTCCTAATCTAATAAATTAAGAAAGTTTCAGCTCTTGCTTTCTTGGAGGATTTCTTTGGGGCCAATTACCTCTAGAGGAAGAATGAGAAATACTGACAATTAAAAGTGCCACAGACAGAGGGAGAGTGTTTGTACTCTGGTGAGGCTCTTAGCCACAAGGGAAATTAGAGAGCGCCTGGATGAGCTGGATAATGAACAATTAAAAAGAAACACACGTAGACATTGAAGGGCTCATCCCTGCAGGAGGATGCTAAGCCCCAGTGACTTGAGCCATAAAGAGGGATTTTCTGAGCTGATGAATAAATGCAGATGAATTTAATTTCCCAGGAGGCTCAGAGGTTAAACTGTCATTATAGAAACTCTTTGTGACTATGCAACTTGGAGTAAGGCAGGATGTCACCTAATTAATGGACTGACCATATGGCAGGAGACCTGTTTACAGAAAGCCAGGCATATAAAGGAAAATAAAACCCAAGTGGAGCTTCTGATTCATAAATGTCACTTCTGGTCATGTGACTCTATGTATAAATATGTCTTAAGTGTTGTTTCCTGTTTCTATAAAGTCTTAAATGAACACATCTGCCCTGTCTGCTTAGAAGGTGCCTGAGTCAAGAATATGAGAACTAGTTACCTTCATGGTGCTTTCTGGTCATCCAATGGATTCGGTATTTGTGTGTGTGTGTATCTAACTTATGTCTCCACTTTAAATATGCCTGTGTCCTGTTGTTTTGCTTTCAGGGGACTTCTCCATCAAATTAATCCATGGGCAGTATTCACTTGCTGACTGTGCTACTCAACTAATTCTCAGACCAGTACAATATAAATTTACTGTGACACATTTTAATATGATTTGGATTAAGTCTCAATGAAAAATGCTGCTTAGGTAAAATACCATCTAGAAATGAAATACCTAATGATTTGTGAAAAAGCATTGAGCAAGCTCCAGTGAACAAGCAAATTACTACAAAGCACTTTGCTAGTGGATTCTGTCAGTGCCACTGTATCTGTGTCTATTGCCAAATAAAGCATATCGTATTGGTACCGTGAAAGTAAACATATCCAACAGCAGAAGAGGAACTGAGTTTCAGGCAAAAGGCAGTTGTGATGTTTTATAAAAAACAAGTACCATGTTCTTTATAAAACATCACAACTGCCTTTTGGCTGAAACTTGGGCAGAAAGGATACCCAAATTGAAATCCCGCCTCTTCAACTTTCTCACTGTATGACTTTAAGAAAATCACGTTGTCTACCTAAGACTCACTATTTTCATCCATAACTAGGTAAAATGTGGAATAAACTTGCTTTCACAAGACTGAGGTGGTACTAAATAAATTATTTTTAACAATATACATAATAGTATATCTGATATTTAGGAAAGTCTCCATATTAGTAAAGGGCCTGAACCCATGGAATTTTCTTTACTCCCTCCTGAAACATCATTAACATGACAGTTAAGGAATTATGTAAATTATAAAGAGCTATAAGGAAAGAGAAAAAAGTAAAGGATATGCCACCAGATGAGATATTAACTAAATTTTCAAGAATTTAAAGTAGATTATAAGAGTGGCAACTGGCTTAACATAAATAAGAAAACCAAACTTATGTCTCTACAGATGGGAGATGCCAATAAAAATCAAGCCATCTTGAATGCCATAACATCAGAGGGGCTCAGGAACTGAAATCATGAGGTATTCTTCAAGGCTAGAAACAGGACTGGTTGAAAGTCTAAAGAGTCATTAGAAGGTCAAATGCCCTATCTTACCATAAGATACAGTGATTATTTCTGTAAATATTGAACAAGAGTCTCAATGATCAGAGATACTGAGCACCATGAGGAAAGGAGTCAAGTTCTCTACTGAAAAATGGGAATTAAGTAAAAGCTGACATGCTGAATGGTGAAAAGCCCATTCCTCCACCCTCTTTTTCAATCTCTGAATGTTGGCAAAGATAACATCTCTTTAGTATAATTGACTCAACAGAAAAGATATAAGATTATCATAGTCAGGGGTCACTCAACAAAATGGCCAGAGCATCTTACCTGAGTACCATATAGTCAAATACACCACTCAATAATTTCTGTCCATAAAATGCTAAAATTAGCATTTTAGTGTCTCATTATTAAATAGTAACAGACAACCATGAATCAGCAGCATTTGCAAAGACCAGTGTAAATAACCATAAGGCACCAAGATGTAATATATATCAAATTCCAAATTGAACTGCAAAACATCCCTCCAAACAGGTAGCCAAAGACTATTTGTACAATTCTGAAATTCCTCACTCTTGCTCAGGATATAAAACAGGTAAGGAAAAAGAAAAACTGAGAGAGGGGTTCCTTTGAAGAAAACTGTGCTATGAGTGCCCCACCACCACCAAGAAAGATGTGGTATAGTTCTGGATAATCTCAGGTCAAAAGAGGGACTTCAGTGGAACCACCCAGAGAGCTGGATATGTGTGCCTTGGCATTAGTGAGATGCAGTTGATGGTATCAGAGTCACCCCTGGAAAAGGTCCATAGGTAAGTCCAGCTGAAAGAGCCTATGGCAGCTGAATAGAAAGATGCAGCTAAAAATTAATTGTAATTCCACTGACTGTCAGAGAAAAAAGCAAGTTACCCATGGTCCTTCTATGAAAATATGAGAGGAAGAGATGATCTGGAAGCATGTTAATAATTTCTAAGGGGTCACTAGGAGGGAACAATGAAAGCCCCTTGAAAAAAGAATATTTACAAAACATCCTCAATGAAGCATGATAAGGAGAGAAAAGCCAGTCAAGACATGTAAAGGGCAATCAAGAGTTCACTGTTGGACCTGTCTTAATCCACAAAAGAATTCAGGGAAAAAAGTCAGAGTTAAACGTTGGCTGGGCCTGGAGATCATAAAGCCAATTTAACAACAATCTTAGACAAGTTAGACCATCCTGCCTTCCATTCTCATTTCCAACCTCTCTAGTGTTTCAACCCTAGAGCAGGCAGGCAATAAGAGTGAAGGTGGTGGATGCCAAGTGTGGGTCAGCAGAGATGAAAGGCCATACCCCTATCCTCGCCTCCTGCAGCTTGAAGGCCCTAAAAGGGAGAAGGAGTGGCTGTCGCTTTTAAAGAGTTAGAAGCCTTAACTATTACACAGACTGAATTACCTAAGGGCTTAGTTTTTGTGTTTTGTTTCTTAAATTGATTTTACATTTAGAACTGTTTTTTAAGAGTAATTAGAAAAGACAGAAGACTGGCCAAGTTTTTATTTATGAGAAAGGAGAAAACCTTCCACACTGAGTTTATTATAAAAGGACAGGAAAAGACAAAGTAAAGCAGCTTTCAGATTCCGTATTTGTTCAAAATAAACATAAAAATAAAAAGTAAAAAAAGATGATTCAGAAAACACATGAAAAAAACGTACAAAGGGGAAAGAATGGGCCATATAGAAAAGATCAAGGTAAAAAATTCTTAATAAAAACGTGCCAACCATGGAAGCTAAAAGACAGTGAAGCAACGTCTTCGGAATTATGATGGAAGAGCGTTTTCACTTAGAATTATATGTCCAGGCAACTTAAGGGCAATGACAGAATAAAAATATTTTCAGATAGTCAAATTCTCAAAAATTCATTGTCAGAAAGCTACTACAGGATGTGACCAGCCAAAATAAAGGTGGTAACACATATAAAACGAAGACATGGCATCCAGGAAAGAGAGGATCCAAAGAAGAAGGTAATAAAAAAAATTCCCAAGAGTAATTTCTAAATATAATCCTAAGTTAATGAACCAGAATGACTGCTACTCAAGAGGAAGAAATCATTTCATGTTGAATCAGGAGGAGGAAAGTCACCTGGAGGGATATCTCCAGCAAAAAAAAAAAAAAAGAAAGAAAGAAAGAAGAGAAAAGAAACTGACTTATTGCCAGATGTAGTTGGACATCTTGAAAATAATTTTGCAGTTCTGTTACTTAGTGATAAATACAAAGAAAACCAAGCTAATTTTAAAAGGATTCAAATGTTAACTTTAGGAAAACATAAATGTATACAGAAAGGACACTGTGATAATAATATTAACATTACTGTACCTCCATGTGCTTGGCACTGTTCTAAATACTATCCTTGTATTGTCTCTAAATCCGCATAACAACTCTATAAGGTAGGCAATCTCATTAGGCATATTTTACTGATGAGGAAAGTGAGGTACAGAGATGTTAAATGACTCGAATAACATCGTATAGTAAATAAATACCACAACCCAGATTTGAACCAGGGAGTCTGACTCCAAAATCCAGACTCTACTGTAGTCAGTTTGCTACATGGCTTACTTGTGAGTGGTAGCCTATGATTGTCAACATATACACACTGAATACTGATCTAACCTGTAATTATGACATAATTATGCATTGAAAAAACAGGAAAGGGAAAGTTTTTTGGGAGTGAGTGGGGTAATAATAACAATTCCAAATTTCATCTTCCCTGCTAGACAGTCAATATATAATGGTTAAAACTGAAAAAATAAAATAATTATAACAGTATAAGTTATTATTTAAAACACTTAAGTAAATAACAGAATAAACAGTTCAAAGAATTTGGAAAGGAAAACTGTATTTGGGGATGAGAAAGGGGCTTTATCCCCAAGAGAAAGGGACTCCCTGCCTTTCTCCAACATTCATTTATAAATGTTGGAGAAGGCAGGGAGGGATGGCATCTAGTACTGAAATGGGTACTTCGATAGTAGTGATAGGAACTAGGACTCCCATGACTACCAGGAAAAGTGTTGCTGGTCTTATAACTCCCACTGTGGTGTGGGAGGCAGCCTCCCACGTAGGGTCATACCTTCTGCACCAAACACCTCCCCACAGTGGGAGCAGAAAAAGTGCTCTGGGTGCCAGGTCTGGTTCATTGCTGTCAGCACTTTCTGGAAAAGGAACACACAGATATTACAATGATGCGGAGTTGTAAAACATGACCCTGGTTCTAAACAAGTGATTAAAAGCTGAAGGAGGTGGGGATTCACTTACATCCAGGATGGGAGCAGCGCAGTAAGCACAGCGTGGAGAAAAAAGGTGATGGTAGTCGTTGGGGCAGTAGGCCAAGCCACTCCGCTCAAAGAAGGGACTGGAGCCAATCTCTTCTTTGCAATGAGTACAGACAAAATGCTCAGGATGCCATGATTGCCCTAGAGCATGGATCACCTGTGGAGTGAAATGAAGCCTGACACAGGAGCCCGGATGAGTGCTCTATGGCCTGTAAGTTGCACAACTCTAGGGGACACTCTTCATACTGTATCCCTTAGAGACAACACCCTCTGGAGTTACACAACACTGAAGCCTAGACCTAGGTTCCACCGAGGCAATCTGTTGCCTGTGCTTTATAGAGTGGTCGTAAAAGGATGCCCACTTTCCTGACTGATTACTGTGATGAAAGCCTGTAAACATTCACCACCACTCCACTACCACAGAGGGTGGCAGAAACAACTTAGAGCACATTGATGAAAAATAAGCCATAACTGTAGTCGTGGCATGAAAGGCACTCCTGGAAGAGGAAAAGGCCAAATGACAGTTTTTATTCCTCTAGTTTGAACACTTTATTCCATGCCCCATGCAGTTAGGTCTCAAAGCCTTTTATCATAGCTTTGGTGAAGGATGATGCAGAACAGGAGTTTGCAGCTGTGACTTGGAGCTGAGTTCGGCTGGAAATTGTAATCAATCAATTTAGACTGGGAATGTTTGAACAACAGGAGCAGTGAGAAAGGTCATCTGAGACCAGAGAGTCTCCTGGTTTCAGATCTTACCTCTACCTCTTACTAGGCCTTGGATACGTCCATTAACATCTCTGAGCCCTCAGTTTCCGTATCTTTACAAAGGGAACAATCATTCTTCTTGAAGGGCTGATGTGACCATTCAATGAGGAAATACTTGTAAAGCACTTAGCTCAGTGGCCAGAGCACTGTAAGTGGTTAGTAATTATTAATGATAACTAAAATATCTTAAAATATAAGGAGAAAGAGCAACTCTTGATGAGACAGAGTGAGACACAGAGGGCTGTAGGACCAAAATTTCAGCCCATCTCACCTTCCCAGCAATCGGTTTCTGACAGGATGCACAATGGCCCTTGGGCACTGTGGCAATGCCAAGGTCCTGCAGTTCCTGCTCCAGACCCCCAAGCATTGAGTCCAGGGAGGCTCTGTGATCCTGCTTGTCTGGTAAGTGTTTATTGCCAGCATCTGCTCTCGCTGCAACCTGGCCCAAGGGAAAAACCAAGAACAGAATCAGCCTCATGTACCTTTATTCTCACTAGCATCTTCTTATGACTCTATAAATTCACCTCTACTGACTGATCTCTTAGCCTTTCCCCAATTTTCCTCCAAGGCATTGGAAGAATCTAAAATTTTAACACCAATAAAAATATTTTCATCTCCCTTTCATTCTAAACTCTTCAGGCCAAATGAAATCAGACTAATCTATTTGTAAATTTTTTCTTAATGCAGAAAATTTAGTACATAAAGATGACACCCTTTGAAAATCTTAGGATGAGCCCAGTTCAAAAATTAGTCACATCCCTCTTTTACTCATTTATTCTGCAATATTTGTTGACTACCTGGGTTTGTGCCAATCACTGCTCTAAGTACTTGGATTAAAGCAATGGATAAGACAGACCAAGTGTCTGGCCTCTTGAAATTGCATTCTGTGGGTGATAGACAATAAATAATTAAACAAATAAATATATGCTGTAATGTCAGATAGAGATAAGTTATTTGGAGAGATCAAAGTGACACAGCAAGATGGAGAGAAGAATTGATTTAGATGGAGGTGGTAATCAAAGAAGGCCCCTCTAAGGAAGTAATATTTCAGTAGATATTTGGGACTCAGAAATATTGACATTTATGGGAAATGCATTCTAGGGGGAGGGAAGGCCCTGAGGAGGAAAACAACTTGGCACATTAGAAGAAAAGTCAAAGACATCAGTGGGGCTAGAGCAGAGGGAGTGAGATTGAACACAGCAGGAGTAGGTGACAGAGAGAGAGGCAAAGATTCCATAGGGACTTCATGGCAAATGCTTGGGTTTTATTACAAGGTGATGGTGCCACTGCAGGATTTCAAGCACAGGAGTGAAGGAATCTGGAGGATCCCTGTGGTAGCTGAGTGGAGAATTAAGTGTTGACACGCAAGAGTGAATGCAGAGAGATGATCAGATAAGGACTTAGATCAGTGTTATAGAAGAAGGTGGTGAGAAGTGGTCAGATAAGACCTGTTGAAGGATTGGAATTATTGAAGCAAAAGCCCAAAATTATTATAAACCATTCAAAGAAAGATCCTCGAATTACCAAAAAAAAAAAAAAAAATGTGGCTAACTCACCCTTCGTCACTTCATGTCCTGATTCCAGCTCTCTCTACTCCTTTCCAGCTGTGCTACTGCTACCATCTATCTACTGAAAACTTCGCTCATCGGAAAACTACAATGGCTCTCCGTTGCCTCCACATCAAGTCTGCACTCATCAGACAGACATTCAAAGCTTCCCATCCGCTGCCCTCGCTTTTGTCTTTCCCAATCTCATCTTTTATTAAAACTATTCTGTAAAAGGTCTCCATTGTTCCCGGCCAGCTGGGCTTCAGTCTCCTGAATGTGATCTGTTACTGTCTGCCTTAAAACCTCTACTTATCTTACTTTTACTGCCTGTTATAATATCACATTATCACCAATCAAAATGCTCATTTTCCTTCAAGACATTTTGATCATCTAACAGGTTTCCTTCCTCCTCTAACACATGTTAGTTAATGTTCGAAAATTTAGTGTTCAGAAGGTTAGTGTCTGAAAGGTCTGAAAGGGTGACTGACATTAATTATGAAAAATAAGTAAAAATACAACAATATATCTACATCTACATCTCTATCTCTTCACTTACATATTTCAGAATACTTCTGAACAGATATAGAAGAGACGGGAAATTCCGCTTATCTCTAGTGGGACAGAACTGGACGGCTAGGGTGTAGAGCTGAGAAGGAAACAGTTCAGTGCAAGCTTTTTGTACTTTTGATTTTTGTACAATGTGAATGTACAGCTTATTCAAAAGATAAATGGGGCTGGGCAGGGTGGCTCATGTCTGTAATCCTAGTACTTTGGGAGGCCAAGGCGGATGGAACACCTGAGCTCAGAAGTTTGAGACCAGCCTGGGCAACATGGTGGAACCCTGTCTCTACTAAAAATACAAAAATTAGCTGGGTGTGGTGGCACACGCCTATAATCCCAGCTACTCAGGAGGCTGAGGCACAATAATCACTTGAACCCAGGAGGCAGAGGTTGCAGTAAGCAGAGATCACGCAGCTGTGCTCCAGCCTGGGTGACCAAGCAAGACTCTGTCTCCAAACAAAAAAAAAGATGGCATTATAAATTAAAAATTTAAATAAACCAAGACACCGGAGACACATGCTAAATCAATTATAAATACAACACAATTAAATGTACTGTAATTTTTTTCTAGTATTTTCAGATATAGAGCACAATGAGCCAATATACCCAGCTTTATTGTAGACATTGATTACCATCATCATCATCAAAGGAGGTTAGTCATTAAGGAAAACTTGTTTGTGATGTTTATCTATTCATCTCTCTAGTAAATAGGTGTTGCTCACAATGTATCAGGCCCTGTGCTGGGCATTGGCATTCCCAAGATAAGCTATAAAGATAAGGTCCCTGCCCTCTCCAATCATACAAATTTTTATATACTGCTTTGAAATTATTTCATAGTCACCTCATGAGTAGATATCAAATCTTCTAACCAGATTTTTTTTTTTGGGGGGGGGGGCGGACAGAGTTTCGCTCTTGTTACCCAGGCTGGAGTGCAATGGCGCGATCTCGGCTCACCGCAACCTCCGCCTCCTGGGTTCAGGCAATTCTCCTGCCTCAGCCTCCTGAGTAGCTGGGATTACAGGCACACACCACCATGCCCAGCTAATTTTTTGTATTTTTAGTAGAGACAGGGTTTCACCGTGTTGACCAGGATGGTCTCGATCGCTTGACCTCGTGATCCACCCACCTCGGCCTCCCAAAGTGCTGGGATTACAGGCTTGAGCCACTGCGCCCGGCCTCTAACCAGATTTAAAATGGCTGGACTCTCTGCCTTAAGGATTCTGGATTATATTACCTTTAGTAAATCTTTAAGCCCATTTATCTGAGATTTCTATTCCATGTCAGACCATGTGAGCTCACCACTCTGAACAAAAGATTTTATCTCAAGATGGGCTTGGGACTTCTCACCCTTCCTACTGTCAGAGCCACACTTTGATCTCCTTTCTGTGTCTCAGCTTGCTCACTGGTCTCCTCTGTCCTGCTTTGTCAGGTCTCTTTGACAGTCCTTCCACATCATCAAGCCTTAAGATACCTCTGCCCTCAGGGGTCATTGCAACTAAAACCACCTTTCCTTCCATCTCTTTATGTCCAAACTCTGCCTGTTCTTCAGAGTCCATCCAAGTTTCAACTCCACCTCCTTGATTAAATCTCCATAATCTCTCTACATCCCTAATGTTTGCTCCACATATTTTTGCAAACCACCTGGCTTTTATTCTACAAATGTTACAGAAACTTATGCCTCATTTTGTCAAGCACACTCTAGTTCCTTGAGATCAAAGTCTGTATTATGATTTTTTTTATGTCCAAATAACACATAGTACAAAGATGGGTTAATTCGCAGAATTACATTTAGTCTAGAAAAAGCAATGACTACTTAGGAAAATTCCTAAGTGGGAGAATGCAGAGCTGAGTTTCACAAAGATAAACTGGTGACCCCATGGGCCCTGTTTATTATCTGGACTGCACTCACCTTGGCCTGCATCTCACTCAGGTGAGCCATGAGCTCATCCAACTGAGCAGCTGCTGAGGTTTTAGAAGGTGGTGGTGACACCTTTGGCTCTCGGGGTTCACTACAGAAGGAAAACAAAAAAGTCATATGAACAAATCAAACTCAAATAAATGTTAAGCCACATATAAAGTACTGAAAATGCAATTTTAATAATGAATCCCTTGGATGTAAAGCTAAAATCAGAGATAGAAGGTATTTTTTAAAAATAATATGTACTAGACCAAAAATCTAAACAAGCTCTCTCTGCCTTTTGTCTCTATTTCTCCCTAGTCATCTAAGTTATAAAAAGTATTATATTTCCTGTCAGTTATTGCCAAAAATTAAAAATAAACTAGAATATAGAGCAGGGGTCCTTGGGTCAAATCTGGCCATGTCCATTCATTTACCTGCTGTCTATAGCTGCTTTTCTTCAGAGTGAGTAGTTGCTACAAAGACCTTACAGTCCACAAAACCTAACAAACTAACTATCTGCCTCTTTACAAAACAAGTTTGCCAACCTCCGGTACAGAAAGTTTAGATAATATATACGATAATGGTTTCATATTCATATAATTGTAAGTAAATTATAAATAAATAAAACTTTGGACCTGATAAACAGAATAGAGATTCAAGTATCTGCATAATCATTAGTAAAATTAACCATGAGGATATAAACTAAAGCTCAATAAAATTTTTAAAGTACATCATATAGACCATATTCTTAGATTGCAGTAAATAGAAGTATAAATTAATCATAAAAACTATCCACTTAAGAAAAAACAAAGTACTTCTAAATAATTTATGGGATAAAAAAATTAAACTGAATTATCAAACCAGTTAGAAATAGCAACAAAACACACACACACACACACACACAACACACACACACACACACACACACACTAACACACATGCACACACACACACATGCCTTTGGGAGTTGAAAGCTAAATGTTATTGAAAGGAAAATATATAAAAAGACTCAAGTGTGATATTGAAAAATGAGAAAGATAAGAAATAAACAAAACTTCCAAGTCAAGAGTCTCAGAAAAATATAAAATAATTGAACAGAAGGAATAAAAGCATAAATTAATGAAACAGAAAACAAGAAATAAAACAAAACCTAGTTCAACCATTGAAGAAAACAGTGTTGTGCTTCCTCAAGGACCTAGAAATAGAAATTCCATTTGACCCAGCAATCCCATTACTGGGTATATATCCAAAGGATTATAAATCATTCTATTATAAAGACACATGCACACGTATGTTCGCTGCAGCACTGTTTACAATAGCAAAGACCTGGAACCAACCCAAATGCCCATCGACGATAGGCTGGACAAGGAAAATGTGGCACATATACACCATGGAATACTATGCAGCCATAAAAAATGATGAGTTTGTGTCTTTTGTAGGGACATGGATGAATCTGGAAATGATAATTCTCAGCAAACTGACACAAGAACAGTACATCAAACACCACATGTTCTCACTCATAGGCAGGTGATGAACAATGAGAACACATGGACACAGGGAGGGGAGCATCACACATTTGGGGGGCCAAGGGAAGGACAGCCGGCGGGTGGGGAGGTCAGGAATGGATAACATAGGGAGAAATGCCAGATGTAGGTAACAGGAGGATGGAGGGAGCAAACCACATTGCCACGTGTGTACCTATGCAACAATCCTGCATGATCTGCACATGTACCCCAGAACCTAAAGTACAATAAAAAAAAACTGACAGTTTTGGGGAATCATTGTATAAAATTGTCAAATACATAGAAAAATATGGAAAATTACCTAATTCTTCCTATAAATAGCTCAGAAACTTTTTAAAATTAAAGAAAAAACTATGGGCATATGTGGAGAGAGGTTAAATTAGCTGAAATGTGTTTTTTTTTTAAATCATAAAAATAAAAAAAATCATGGCTAGTTTGTGTTTATACTGGTCATCCAAAAATAGTTCAAAATTAGGAAAAAGATTAATATAATTCATTAACAAATAGGAGAAAAGCTTTATAAACACATTGATAGGTGCTGAAAAAACAGTAGAAGACAAATTTAACAACCATCTGTTGTTGAATATCAAGAAAAAGTCAATAAACTGATAAAATGTGTCCAAAAGATATCTATAACAAGCCTCATAATTAATTATAAAAATTAAGCACATTTTTAATTAAGAGAAAGTTGGACATAGATCCTACTACCATTGAAAAACTTTAACGTTATTCTAGAATACATTGTCAAATGCATTTTAAAGTAAAATAAGAGAATTATATATTTGAAATAAAGGCAGTGTACCCTCATTCTTTCTTTTAAAATAGACAGTATAATCATTTCTGAGGAAAATGTAAGATAAATGACTGAACAACCACTGGAATGAATAAAAAAGATCAGGGTGGCGATTAGATATAGAAATAAAATGAAACAGTCTCTTTCCTATGATCATCAACAAGCAATTTGAAAATTCAATGAAAAAAAAAGAAACTGTTCACAATTCTAACAAAAGTTATAAAATATCAAAGAGGCTGGGTACGGTAGCTCACGTGGTGGCTCATGCCTGTAATCCCAGCACTTTGGTATGCAGAGGCGGGCGGATCATGAGGTCAACAGATCGAGACCATCCTGGCCAACAGAGTGAAACCCTGTCTCTACTAAAATATAAAAATTAGCTGAGCATGGTGGCGCGCGTCTATAGTCCCAGCTACTTGGGAGGCTGAGGCTGGAGAAATGCTTGATCCCGGGAGGCAGAGGTTGCAGTGAGCCGAGATCGCGCCACTGCATTCCAGCCTGGCGCCTGGCGACAGAATGAGACTGTCTCAAAAAAAAAAAAAAAAAACTTTTTTTAAAAATAAAATAAAATACCAAGGAATACACTTAACAAGAAATATGTGAGAATTCTATGATAAAAAAAAACCATTGGCAGACATAAAGGAAGATCCACATATCCAATTAAACAATAGGCAAAGGACCTGAATAGATGTTTATCCAAAGAAGAAATAAAACTGGTCAAAAGGTATATGAAAAGGTATTCAACACCATTAATCATCAGGGAAATGCAAATGAAACTATTATGAGATACCACTCCCAAACAGATGGCTATTCTCAAAAAGTCAAAAGGTGGCAAATGTTGGCCAGGGTATGGACAAAAAAGAACTCTTATACACTGTTTGTGGGAATGGAGACTGTTACAGCCATTACAGAAAACAGTATGGAGGTTTCCAAAGGAATTGAAAATAGAAATACCACATGACACAGGAATCCTTCTTCTGGGCATACACAAATTAAATGAAATTACCACTTCGTAAAGATCTTCACTCTTAAGTTCATTGCAGCACTATTCACTATAGCTAAGAGGTAGAAACAATTAAGTGTCCATCAGTGGATGGACATCCATAGAATAAAGAAATTGTGAAATATGCACACACACACACACACACACAATAGAATATCATTCAGACTTAAAAAAAAAGGAGACCCTGTTATTTGTCATAGCACTGATGAATCTGAAGGACATTATACAAGTGAAATAATAAAGAAAAATATTCCATGATCTCACTTATAGGTGGAATCTTTTTTTTAAAAAAAAGATCAAATATGTAGAGGTAATGGTGATGAGGGGCAGGAAAGGGGGTGAAAATGGGGACATGTAGGTTAGAGGATATGAAGCAGCAGATATGTAAGATAAGCCTAGAGATCTAATGTACACCGTAAGAACTATAGGTAATAAAATTGCATTGGATTTAGTATTCCTGCTAAACTAGTAAATTTTGCCTGTTCTTACCACAGAAACAAACAAAAATGTGTAACTATGTAAGATAATAAATATGTCAATTTACCTCACTATAGTAACCATTTTACTAACTATTCATATCCCATAAAATCATATTGTACTCCTCAAAGATGCACAATAAAATACATATTTTAGAAAAGGTCTACATAAATGAAGATAAATATTATAACGTCAGTTTCCCCTAATTAAATTGTAGATTAAATGTAATTCAAATAAAAATTCTGATAGAATTATTCAAGCTAATTAATAAGGTGATGTTAAAATTTATGGGATAGAACTCTCAAGACAATTCTGAAAAAAAAAGGAGGGTATGTGTGGTGGCTCACACCTTGGTCCCTGCACTTTGGGAGGTCCAGGTGAGAAGATTACCTGGGATCTGAAGTTCGAGAACATCCTGGGAAACATGAAAGAGACCTGGTCTCTATAAAAATTAAAAGTTTTAAAGAAAAAAAAAAACAGGAGGGAAGACTTGTCTTGATAGATGTGTCTTATAGAGTTACAATAATTAAATTTGTATGATGCTGGTAAAAAAAAAAAAAATAGATAGGGCTGGGTGCAATGGTTCACACCTGTGATTCCTTTAGGAAGCTGAGGCAGGAGGACTGCTTGAGCCCAGGAGTTTGAGACCAGCCTGGGCAACATAGGGAGACCCTGTCTCTACAAAAATTACAAAGTCAGCCAGATGTGGTGGCACATCCCTGTCATCTCAGCTACTCAGCAGGCTGGGGCAGGAGGACCACTTTGGCCCAAAAGGCCAAGGCTGCAGTGGGTTGTGATCACACTATTGCATGCCAGCCTAGACAACAGAAAAAGAATGAGACCTTGTCAAAAAAAAGAAAAGAAAAGAGGAGAAGGGAAGGGAGAGGACAGGAGGGGAGGGGAGAGGAGGGAGAGGAGGGGAGAGGGAAAGGGGGTGGGGTGGGGAGGGCAGAAGAGGGGAAGGGGGTGGGGAGGGGAGGGCAGGAGAGGGGAGAGGGAAAGGGAGAGGAGAGGAAGGAAGAAGGAAAGGGAAGGGAGGGAGGGAGGAAGGGAGAGAAGGAGGGAGGGAGAGAAGAAGGGAGGAAGGGAGGGAAGGGAGGGAAGGGAAGGAAGGGAGGGAAGGGAAAGGAAGGAGGGAAGGGAAGGGAGGGAAGAAAGGGAGGGAAGGAAGGAAAGGAGGGAGGGAAGGAGGGAGGGAGGGAAAAGAAAAGGGAAGAGAAAAAGAAAAAGAAAAAACAAACAGGTCAAAGGAGAAGATTAGAAAACCCAGAAACAGGCTCCTGCATCTATAAGAACTTCATATATGATCAATG